ATACCCCAGGTTTTACTCTTTCATCAAAAATTTCCCCTTTGGTGTTTATGTTTCTAGCATAGACTAGACACCCAAATACCTTCATGTGAGAATAATAAGGCTTTTTGCAAAAAAAAAAGGACTTCATATGGTGTTTTAGAATTCAGGACCTTGGAAGGTAATCTGTTAATAATGTAGGTAGCAGTGAGAACGCACTCACTTCAAAATTTTATCGGTAGACTTGCTTCAAATCTCAAGGCTCTTGCAACTTCAAGAAGATGCATGTGCTTTCGTTCAACAACCCCATTTTGTTGAGGGGTGTGTGGATAAGAAGTCTCATGAATGATTCCCATCTTAGAATAGAAATCATTCATGAGTCCGGAAGTAAATTCTCATCCATTATTACTTCTGATCTTCTTGACATCTTTTCCAAATTGAGTTTTGATCATATTGCATAAGTTAATTAATTGTTGGCTGGCCTCATGTTTGTTTTTGAGCAAGAACACCCAAATAGCTCTACTATAATCATCAACCACAGTCAAAAAATAATGTGTCCCGGTAAGTGAAGGTGTGCGATAACTTCCCCATATATCACAGTGAATTAATTCAAAACAAACAATCGTTTTAATATAACTATTAGAAAAAGGAAGTCTTGTGTGTTTAGCCCTAACACACGAATCACAAACTCTATCATTTAACTTATTCATAGAATTTCCTAAAAAATCAACTTGACTCGACTTAGACACAAATGCATGTCCAAGCCTTTTATGCCACACCTCAACATCCGGCGCCACCACTAAAGCTTTATTCTCTCCCGACACCGAATCCATTCGATAAAGACCACCGTTGCACTTACCCATGCCAACCAAGCTCTTCTTGTGTAGGTCCTGTATGAGGCAAAAATCACGGTAAAAGGTTACAACACAATTTAGTTCATCAGTGAGACGACTAACAGATAAAAGATTGGAATCAAATTTTGGAATGTAAAAAACATTCCCAATCTTAATTCCGTTGGGAAGATGGCATGCCCCCTTTCCTTTGACAAGGATGGAATCACCATTTGATATAGTTACCGGGAACTCATTGTCACAAAGAACCTTTGTTTCGAGTAAGTTTTGATCACTCGTCATATGGTTTGTGGCTCATGTATCTATAATCCAAGAACCATTATTGTTTTTCCTACCTGCCATGTTGATGTCCTCTACACACGTATATGATAAACTCTAAGATATCAAAATAAACAATAATTCCTTTAATTATTGGGTCTCTGTTCTTGATTTGTTAAAGGATAGTTCATAGTTATAACCTAATTTCTGCAGCCAATGAAGTTTATGAAAGAGATGAAGACAATCCTCAGATGTTTACCTCGTGAAAACTATTTGAGGATTCGTACGAACAATCTTGAATGAATTCGCATCTGTGAACAAAATTAGCATACAAATAGTCATAAACGAACATACATAGACACAGTGACATATACAGACAGTCACAAACAGACGCATATACATACAAAAGGTGACACACAAATACACAAACACATATAAATAAGCATACAAAAACACCAGAAATGTGATTTTGATGGACTTATCTCTATCATCTAATATTTTTGGAAAATCAAATATTTATGCATCGAGAAGCAGAAAAAAAAGTTGAAAAGACCTCCTAGAATGGATTTGTAATGCATACTTTTAAGACAGTAATTGACGGTGTGCATCGCTCACCGAAGCCCATAAAGCCTCATCCATCGTTGTAATTGAAGTAGTCGGTGGGAAACTAAGAAATAGGAGAAGGGTGTGGCGGTGGTGGCGAGCAACGGTGCATATGGTGATAATCGTTTCAAAAAGAGGAATAACATAAGAAAAGACGTAGTTGATTGGAAAAAAAATCTCACCTGCAATGCAATACCACTGCTTGAAAGCACATTTGGGAGTGTACATACCTTCAAAATCGAAGGCAAAATTTAGGAAACTGCAAAGTATAAAGATGGAAACTGAGTTTCATAGATTGAAATCGAGATAGAGAGTAAGGTAAAGGCCATGAAATCGTCTGACACTTGCTGGTCTTTCCCATTTAAACCTATATCAAAGTATTAGATGATAGAGATAAGGTAAAGGCCATGAAACCTATACAAATTGTTGGTTGACGTGTCTGATGTATGTACAGAAATGTGTGTATATTTGTGGGTATGTGAAAAATGTTGTATTAGGGCAATACAGTCATTTTGTACAGTCAGTTAGATGCAAAATCAAACAACAATTTTCAATCGGAAGTTAACTCAGTCAGCTCTAACCCAGTTAGCGACTATCAAATGGCCCCTAAGGAGAAAACGTGGCAGTGACCAACAGACCCAAACAATGAATAAAATAATGAAAACGGATAAGAATGGAAGAGAAAAATGGGAAAAGGAAATATTATTGTGTCCTGAAAATGAAAATAAAAACCTCCATCGCAAATCATACCACCAAAGTTTTTAAGAATTAATCGGCCCAATCGAGACAAGCTTGTTAATCTCAGCCGTCTATTATATCAACAATCGGATCTAACCAGGTTGCCCTTCCTCTATATAACAACTCGTCTCCACCTTCCCACGCTCAACTTTCAATTAGGGTTTACGTTTTATCAAACACCTGTTTGTTTTCTGCCGTTGGATACTTCAAGGTAATCGTTTCTTATTCTTTTTGATTAAACCATGATAGGATATTATTCATAGCCCGATCTCTCTCTCTCAATGTATATGAAATGTATCCATTTCCATTTTTTATGTTTCCATTCGAATTAACCAAGGCTTCGCTAATCTGGTCGGCATGAATTTATTGGTTTCTGTCTGACTCGTTCCCTTGAAGCAAGATGAAGCGTGCTGTTTTAGATTTTTATAATCTTCAATCGGTTTTCATTGGAGAACACTTAAGCAGCTACATAGGTTCATGAAGTTTGACACATAAAGCATTCACAATCAATATTCAATACAACTAACGATGCTTTTAGGGATTTTTTCTTCTAATTTGGGGAATATGTGACTGTGATGAGCCAATACAGACCTGTAATGACTTGCGAAAATGATCGCAACTTATGAACATCTAAGGGACTGAGTTTCGTTTCCCTCAATCTATTTTTTTTTTTTCTTCTTATGAATTCAATTTTGGAAGTTATTTTAGTTATATATTTTTGAAAATTCTAATTTCGAATTCAATTTCGGAAGTTATTTTAGTTATATATTTTTGAAAATTCTAATTTCGAATGTGTATGTTCGTGGCTTTATATAGTTTGAATGAGGATTTGCTAAAATTTAGTATTGCAAATTTTAATGGAGTGAAGCCTAGATAAGTGTTTCCCTCGCTATCCGTTGCAACCATCAATGTAGCATTTGGACGTTGGGAAACAACATTTAAAATTTTATGTTTCTTGATACATATAATTTGTAGAATTCGTTGATTTACTTCACTATTTCTGTTCACCTCTCAATGTACACTACGTGTTGCTAACGTGATTTTTCGTGTGTTAACTGTCATTGCACTTTGTATCAGTGCGATTTTATTCCTTGGTTGTGTATATATGAATCTGTAAAAATCAAAAAATGTTTTTCGTTAATGTATTTGAGGTTTTTACATTATGTCAAAAAGTGGTCATTGAAAACCATTGAAAATTATGAGAGAAGTGAGAGGGTGTGCAACTGTGTATCAGGTTCAGTAAATATATGCAAACCTTATAAACCATCATTACTAACATTGTCAAATTCCGAAGGAACCCAAATTAAAGGATAAGTATATGGAATTTCGTCTTCATATTGTACAAATAGACTTTGAACCGTGCCATATGAAATAATCTATCCAGTCGCGTAAAAGTTAAAACATAGAGTGTTTTCATAAATGGCAATAAATAACTATCATCGTTCTCAACATTCTTTAGATCAACCGAAAGAGCCTGAACCAGATGGACAGAAACCTGGCATAAATATCAAGCATGCATGTTTACTTTTATTAATGAATCTACAAAATTAATAAGATTACATATCTTTTTTTTGCAACTAGTGATCTCCTTGAGATTTTAGATGTAAGGAACCAAAGGTGAATCCTTTTATTGATATTACATCATACTCTTCTAATATCTCTTGTACTCGTGTGAGTCAACATTCATACTTTTGTTCCATATCTTCGCTTCTTCATACTCACCTAACATCTTTGAAATTTATGGGGTGTTTGGATAAATTAGATTTTAGCTTATTGTGGTGGAATAAATAGTTTTTTTAAAAATATTTGGATTATCTTATTGTGGTGGAAATAAGCAATAAGCAATAAAAAATTTAAGTGTTTGGCAAAATTAATAAGATTACATATCTTTTTTTTGCAACTAGTGATCTCCTTGAGATTTTAGATGTAAGGAACCAAAGGTGAATCCTTTTATTGATATTACATCATACTCTTCTAATATCTCTTGTACTCGTGTGAGTCAACATTCATACTTTTGTTCCATATCTTCGCTTCTTCATACTCACCTAACATCTTTGAAATTTATGGGGTGTTTGGATAAATTAGATTTTAGCTTATTGTGGTGGAATAAATAGTTTTTTTAAAAATATTTGGATTATCTTATTGTGGTGGAAATAAGCAATAAGCAATAAAAAATTTAAGTGTTTGGCAAACAAAACAACTTATGTTAGTAAAATGACCAAAAAGGGCTTTCTCTTAAATGTAACATTTTTCTTATTAAAACAAAACATTTTTGTTTTTTAAGTAATAATAATAATTTTCTTATTCATAAGAACTAAAAAAACATTTACCATATTATTTTTACACCTATTTTTAAATTGATCGGATACATCTATCAAAATATTCAAGGAACATGAGACCATAATGTTCTTATCCATAAGAATTAAAAAAAAACATTTATCATGCAAAACCATATGAGACCATAAATTTCATTCCAAATCCATATTATCCAACATATTATCTAAAATATCCAAAATAGTTTCATGCTACTATATTAAACCATAAAATGAAAATACTAAAGAACTTCAAAACAAATCATACGCCGTTACGTGCACGAGTGTTTGACATTGAGAATGTATGTCCCGCAATCATATTGCGTACTGCACTCTTATACATATCGTCACTTCTACGTTGTCTACTTGATACTTCGTCATGTGGCTCAATACCATCATCGGGTCCTTCATCATTGCACGAAATATAAGATTCTTTTTGCGCTATTTGAAATGTTGCATCACCACTACCTCTAATTCTAATGTAATTGTGAATTGCCATTGAAGCTAGCACAATTTTAACTTGGGTCTCGAAGTTGAAATTTACATGCATCTCTTAGTAACAACCATCGAGCCTTCCAGACTCCAAAAATTCGTTCAATTACATTGCGAAGTGACGAATGATAATAGTTAAATTTTTCTTTGAAGCCTTTTGGTTCCCGCGAGGCACGAGTCTGTCCACGTCGAAAATCAGGAATATGATAACAAATGTTTGAACCTTTGTAGGGAGCAAGATAACCTTTTGTATTAGGATATCCGGCGTCTACAAGGTAAAATTTACCTATAGAGTTACAAATAAAGCATATGATTGTTATTCATTTATACCGTTTGAAAATATAAAACTTCTATTACTAAGTAATGATACTAACCATCGGCTGGAAGTGGAAACTTAACTTCACGTCTCCTTCGCGCTTCATTGAAAATTCTCGTGTCATGTGCAGTCCCCTCCCATCCATCCCACGCAAAGGTAAAGCACATGTTGAAATCACATGCTGCCATAATATTTTGAGTAACGTAATTCTTTCGTCCAATGTATTTGATTTGGTCACGTTGCGGAACAGAGGTCTTCACGTGTGTTCCATCGATGGCACCAATACAATCCTACAAATTCAAAAAATATAATAAGTTACCAATTATTTTTACAATTACACAAATTCATTAAATAACATAACTTTGCAACAAATAAGTACCTTGAAGTATGGATAATACCGAGGGTTATTTAAAATATGTTCTGGTATAGTTTCGTTGTAGTTAGCATTTGGTTTGATGATGTCCTTACTTAGGTTAACCACAACATCCAAGACTTTATGAAAATGTCTATGGATTGTTTCCCCAGAATGATTAAAGAACTCTTGAACTAACCGATTTCCACATCCATGCGCTAAGTACAACAAGAAAATACCAAGGGACTCTTCAATAGATACACGACGTGATTTCTTTAACCCATAATGTGCAACAGAATCCCTACATAACATGTTGAAAACCGGGACTTGTAATCTGAAAAGTTCATAGCATCGGCTCTCATGATCGTTAAGTATTTCATTGATAAGCATGATTCCTGTGCGCGAAGATGAACGACGACGTCTACATACATATTTTGAGTTATGAGCCAATAGTAACCCTTTGACAGCAAGCCCACATAAAAGAAGTGTTTGAATCTCTTCATTTTCTTCAATTTCATCACATAAGTCATCAATGTCATATGAGTTGTCACTTTCACAGTCACTGGCCATGAATATAACCTGTTACTAAACGAATTGGAAACGAGGGTAAGATTGAAATTTACCACATACTAGATAAAATCATGAAAATATCATGGAAAAGAAAACAAGAGCAAAATCACGGGGCAAGGGCAAAATTGACCACAAAACAAACATGAAACGACATTACATAAAACAAACACAAAACAATCGTTTAAATTTAACATAATAGATGAAAGGATATGTCTAACACATGACAACCGTTTAAAATCATTGAAAAGGAAACAAAAACAAAATCATGGGACAAGGGCAAAATTGACCACAATAGTAGAGTATGTCTAACACATGACATAAAAGGATAGGTCTAACACATGACATAAAAGTAGAGTATGTCTTCAACTACTTCTATTTCTCTATAAGCCTCTTGAGAAACTCCATCTTTGTTTCATTAGTCTTTGGAACCATAAAATTATGACGAGTTGGCTTCTTTAAAAAGATCTATAACGCTTCTAAATATCCTATGGAGCCTTCTTCAAAACCCGGGGAAAGTAGAGACAATTGCCATGCAATCTTCTGTTGTGGGTGTGATAGCTTCATTTTATTTACTTCTTTTTATAGTTTATTTTAGCATATTTCATTCGCATTTTAGTTAATTTCCATGCATATTTTCCTTTTTGTTATTTTATGACCACTTTCGGGTTCTTTCGAGTTTTGTGAGCTTAATTACAGATTTTAAGGAGACTAGCGGAGCGGGATCTTTTGGGACGCAATTGGACTTGGAGGACAACGAGGATTTTAGGCTTGATGGCTATAGAGGTGATGCATGGAGTGGGATTGTCAATTATTTGAAGGGTTGGAAGAATTAAACTTTAAATTTGAAAGCCACGGGAGAATTCTTGAGTGTGCAAGATCGATGTTTAGGAATTTGCGGAAGTTTTGAGTGATGTGGAGAGACAAATTGGGCTCAAATTGAAGAAATATTGAAGAGAAATGGGCTAGAAGCAGATTGGATTCGAACTGGGCCAATGGATTAGCTGTGGGGGCCCAAGACTTGAAGAAGCCCAAAAATTTCCGTCGAAGTCACGCGGCCCGCGTAAGATTCCCCGCGGCCCGCGTGGATTCCTGACAAGGGCAATTTCGGGATTTTACTTAGAGCTCTATATTGGGAAGGTTGGTGTGCCTCTTTAGGATAATCTTGGAGGTCCGATTTTGATACTTTTCTCTCTGGAGTTTGGAGCATTTTTGAAGGCCAAGAACCCTCAAGAACTTCACCATTTCATCTCTTAATTCTTGCTAAATGTTTGGTACAATCTTAACTAACTTTGTTTCCTTGAGTTTAGTCATGCTTGGCTAAACTAATCTTGGTTGACTTTTGTTGAATCCTTTGAACTTTTGTTGAATATTGAAGAATCCATGAATTTGTGTTTGAATCTTTATGAAAATGTTTTGTGTTTTAACATCTTATCATTACTTGCATGTTTTTATTCATGAGTTTAAATGTGTTTGTGGTGATTAGTTGGCTAATTTCTTGATTAAGTAAAGGATCTTCAAATTAGCAAGCAACAAGTGATTCTTGTGTTAGTTTTACTTCACACAATCATAAAAACATTTTCTCCAACATGGTGGTGAAAGCATTTGACCCCTCTTGGATTTGGTGATTTTTTGGTTCTTAATGCTAGTTGACTTTCACTAATTACATGCTTAATGGAATTAGTGACTTTAACTAAGGAAATTGTTATGAGCTTCTCTAACCATTTCAACAATTAAGAAAAGTCTAGGTAATCTCAAGCTCCTTGGATTACTATAGCCAAATTAAGGGTTTAAAACAAGTATTGCACCATTTGATTCTAATGATATGTTCATCAAAAGTCAAAGTGAGGAAACTTTAAGTCAACCATCATTCTCTTATTGATTTTACATCAAACTCTTATTTTTGTTGAAATTGTCTATTTAAATCTTAGTTAATTCTAGTTTGTTTCAAGTATTTCAAAAATATCAAAACCCCCATTTTTATTTTATTGTCATTTTAGATGTACTGTTGCAAAAAGATTTTCCATAGAGTTATAAATTGAACCAATCTCTGTGGATCGATCCCTTTACCACTATACACTATTTTAGTGTGTAATAATTAGGGTTATTAATTTTGTTGGCCTCGACAACCACCAAATTTTGGCGCCGTTGCTGGGGATTGGTTTATTTTAATCAGTTTGTTTCTCTATGCCTAGATCTCATTGTGCAGGTACTCTAGTTTAAAACTAAAAAAATTGAAAAAAAATTATGGTTCAGAAATGAACACTCCTTGCATTAAAGATAAACTTTCTGAGCTAGCTCAGTTAGTTATGATGATTGAAAGTGACCAAAGTGTGCAACCCTCGCCTCTTCTTTGCGATAATTGCGCCCAAAATGGACATCATTCCGATATGTGTCCATATTCACAAGGAGAATGGGAAGAAGTGCAAGAGAAGGGAAGCTACCACTGGTCAAACGAATGGATTTATGATCAACCTCAACATGATCAATGGTGGGACAACAACCAAGCTTGGGGATACAACCAATACCAAAGCCCATATCAAGCTTGGAGAAATGAAAAATACCAACCAACTCCACAATTCCAACATCCATATCCTCCACCTCCTCAACAACCTGAAATTCCAAGCATGTCCTTAGAGGACATTGTGAAGAGCATTGCCACATCTACCCAAATTTTCCAAGAAACAACCCAAGCTAGCCTCAAAAGCTTAGAGAAACAAATAACACAAATTTCTCAAACAATAAGTATAATGGAAGCTCAAGACAAACTACCGTCTGAAGAGAGCCCAAGGCATAGCACATGTGTCATTCCTTTGAAAGATGAGAAAAGTTTTGATGGCCCAAGAGTGTTATGTGGAGAAGAGGAAGAAGGAGTAGAAATGGAAGAGGCTGTCAAGGAGGAAGAAGAAATTGAGAAAGATGTCAATGAAACTATAGAGGAAGTGTTGGGTGTTAAAAAAAGAGAGGTTGAGCCACCCACTACCATTGAGAAACTAACTCCAGTGGTAAACGAACCACAAGAGCTGAAAACGATAAATCTGTCGGACCTTTTAATTGATACATATCCGGAGAAGGAAGACACCCAATCGGTCACCAACTCGACCACTATGTCGAATATGGAAGAGTTGGTCACCTTACTAAACAAGTACAAGAAAGAATATGGTTGGATTCTTTCTATTATCAAAGGTCTAAGTCCGGTATGGTTTTTCCGTAAAAAGAAAGTCAAATACAAGAAAAGAGTCCCAATGGAGATGTGGAAATTAAAAAATGTTGACACGGGGCAAGTTTTCAAGGTTAATGGACATTGGTTGAAGCCATTATATGAAGGTTTTGATTCAAATGTCCAAGATGTCATCCATTTGGACGCCCCAAAGTGTTAAAGTGAAGTTTGGAGGCGTCTCGCCGAAGACGTTAAAGAAGGGCATTTTTGGGAAGCATTGTGCTTTCGTCTTTCATAAAGCGAATAAAATGATTTTGAAAATGTTCATTTTTGAAAAATTTCAAGCTTTATTCTCACCTTTCGTCCAAACTTTTGTTGTGTTTTTGAAACTCGGGATTTTGCGGGAATCATTTTGGCCAAAAATCAAGTTTTTAGAAAAATTTTAAATTTTGAAGTGCAGGAAGTCACGCGGCCCGCGTGAAACTCCACGCGGCCCGCGTAAGGTCTTGTGCGGCTTACGTGCGGCCCATTCCTTGCCCGCGTAGAAGAATCACCTCCAACCCTGTTCAGCACACGCGGCCAGCGTGCGGGTTCCACGCGGCCCGCGTAAGACTTTGTGCGGCCATCGTGCGGGTTCCACGCGGCCCGCGCAGATTTCCGATTCTTTGCCATTTTCAAGCTTCAGGTCCCGCGGCCTCCGTGCGACCAGCCCGCGGCCCGCGTGAAAGGTCAGAAGAATCAGTGGGATTTCGAGAAAACTAGACGCGGCCAACACGCGGCCCGCGCCTTACCCGCGCTCCGTATAAAAACTCAATTTCCCGGAGATCTACCGGTCAGAATCCCGCGAGGCCACCGCCATTCTTCACCATTTTTCCTCCTCTACAAACCCCTATGCTCCGCCCGACCCTCCGATTTAGGTCATTTCTGCCCTTTCCTTAAGCATTGAGGACAATGCTTGTTCTTAAGCTTGGGGTGGGGCACTTCCCTTTTCTTTTACTTTTTCATGCATTTTTTTAACTAGGTTGCATAACATTTTAGTTTTAAGCTAATTTGCATTCATTTTTCTTTTATTTTTTATAAAATTCCAAAAAGATTTTATTTTCTTCTTTTCTACTTTCTATTTTTGCATAACATTTAGCTTAGGGCATTAGCATTCATGCATTTTTGTTATCTGTTTATTCTCACCCCCTTGGATGCCATGGAACAGGTTCATAGTTATTGTATCATTATTGGTCCAGGATCTTGTTGCTATCTCACCCATCGAACCGGGACCACTAGCTGCAGTTTGGGACTTCATACTTGGGATCAGATGCTGGAAGCTTAAAGGGGTAAGTGATCATGGCCAGGTAGTTTTCATGAAGAATTATGCATGCAATATTAACAACTGTAGGATATACTATAGCAATGGATGTTCTTACCCTTGCGGTCACTACCGCTGAGAGGATCACACTTGATCATGTTTGAACCGTTAAGATGAAGCACTGGTGCTTGTCCCCGAGTAGAATCCATATCCGGTCTCTTACATCACCATATCTTTTTGCGATTTTCTTAGGATCTTAGAGAGTCTTTTAGTCCGCATATGGACATTTTCATTATTTTTGAAAAATTGCAAGTTTGAAAAGGAGCTTACATCTTTACGCTCCACGCATGGTCATTTTCACATTTAGACCATTCGGATTATATTATTACCCTCTCGGTTCCACTTACATACTCTTGGGAACCAAATTTTGAGTCAAAAAGTTTTCTTTAAAAAAAAAAAAAAAAAAAAAGAGAAAAAGAATAGCATGCGAATTTCCAGCTGCAATAATCGTAGATAGGTGACCGGTTCAATTATTGAACAAAT